GAAATTTCGAAAAGAAAAATGAACGTGATTATATAATGGAAGTTGTATGTAAAGCTACCCAATCAACTGAAACTCAAATTAAGGTCGCTGCACTTCAATGTCTTGTTAAAATTGTTTCTTTATATTATGAATACATGGAACTGTATATGACAACATTATTTCCAATTACATTGCATGCTATTAAATCAGATTTGGACGAAGAAGCACTTCAGGGTATTGAATTTTGGTCTAGTATAGCCGAAGAAGAGGCTGAAATTGTATATGAAAGACAGTGTCAAGAACAACCCAATGACAAAAAACTTATGCTATACGCTGAAGGTGCGTTGGAATTCATAATACCTGTTTTAATGGAAAAACTTACCAAACAAGAAGAAGGTGACGATGATGATGATTGGAATCCTTGTAAATCAGCTGGTGTTTGTATAATGTTGCTAGCTACTTGTTGTCAAAGCAATATTGTTGCACATGTAATTCCATTCATAAATTCTAATATCAGCAATCCAGATTGGCGTTTTAGAGATGCTTCAGTGATGACACTAGGATCAATACTTGGTGGTCTAGACCAGATTGCATTAAAAAGTCTATTAGAACCTAATATTCCTGTTCTTATACATTTGATGTATGATTCTAGTGTGGCAGTTCAAGATACATCTGCATGGACATTTGGCCGCATTTTTGAGTTTGTACCTGATTTAATCATTAATTCTCCTTGTTTAAATGATGTACTTGGAGTGTTTATAAAAGGTCTTAAATCTGAACCCCGTGTAGCCACAAACATTTGTTGGGCTTTTAGTAGTCTTGCGCAAGCCACTGGAGAAGATATGAATGTCTTGACACCATATTTTGATTACATTGTTCAAGGCCTACTTGAAACCACTGAAAGGGGTGATGGTATGAGATCTAATTTGAGGTCTGCGGCATACGAAGCTCTTATGGATATGATCAAGTGTGCACCTGCTGATTGTTATGAAACTGTTAAAAGTACAACGTTAATCGTTCTTAGTCGGTTGAACCAAATTATCAATTTACAATCCATGAATGAAGATTGTTTGGACATGCAAGGATTATTATGCGCAACATTACAAAGTGTTATAAGAAAAATGAGTGGCGAAGATGTAGAAAAAATTGCTGATGCCATTATGAATGCTCTTCTGGTAATGTTGAGTACTAGCAAAGATAGTGGTTTACAAGAAGATGCATTAATGGCTATAAGTCCTCTGATAGAAAATATTGGAAAAGGATTCAATAAGTATATGGAATATTTCAAAACATACTTATTTATTGGCTTACAGAATAATATGGAATTCCAAGTTTGTTTAGCTGCCATTGGTTTGGTAGGTGATTTATCACGAGCTCTTCGTGAAGATTTAGCTCCGTATTGCGATCAAATTTTTGCTTTACTTTTTGAAACATTGAGCAATAATACTGTTAACCGGAACTTAAAACCACAAATTCTGTCGTCATTTGGAGATATAGCTCTTGGCATTGGTTCAGAATTCAAGAAGTACCTAGATCATGTTTTGAATGCTTTGGTTCAAGTAGCACAACTTCAGTTAGATCCCAACGATGCAGAAATTGTTGATTACTTGAATGAACTGCGTGAAGGTGTTTTGGCTGCTTACATTGGTATTGTACAAGGACTGAAAGGTGAAGGATATACACCCAATCAAGATGTTTACTTACTAGAAGCACACTTGCCGTTCATGGTTCAATATATGATTTCTATTTGCTCTGATCCTAATGCACATCCAGGCATATTGAAGAGTTGCTGTGGTCTTGTCGGAGACTTGTGCACAGCTTTTGGTGCTAAAGCATGTCCGGTTTTAGATAACGGAGAAGTACATGAGCTTTTATACAAAGGACGTCAATCCACAGATGTTACTGCCAAAAGTCTAGCCCGTTGGTCTGCGAAAGAACTTCAAAAAATCAAGACCTTTGCAATGTAAAAAATATATGATTTTAAACGTGAGGCTCTATTGATCGTTTGTCTTCTCGTATGATTGTCTTTATTTAGTGCCTATGTAATTTTTATGGTATAAATGGAACCAAAACGTGTCTGTGATTTTGTATAACTGTATGAGTAAATGTGCTACTCTGTATTCGTATTCCTACTAGTGTACGGATTTTAAAGTTAAGTGAGAAATTTTTTTTTTATTTATATTAGTATACATCGATTGAGCTCATTTACTCGGCTCGTATGACTGACTGATTATCAAATAATATTTGTTAAATATTTAACTTGTATATAATATTTGTTTATAATATGAAAAATCTTAAAGTTGTTTCCGAGTGTCCGTTTTGTTCCGAGTGCGTATTTTTGTATGAATGCAATATTATTTATTTATATATTAGGTATCTTGTATTTGTTTTTACTGCCTGTCCGTCTGTCATTGAGAATAGTGTTTAAACATTAATTAAATAGAATCTTTCATGAAAAAAAATAAAGAGTTATTATTTATTACTGTAATTAAAAATGAAGTCTTTTTTGTATTAATAGTATTTTTTTTCTCTAACATTTAATTTATTTTAATTCATTGCTAATAATTTTAAATGTTTTTACTTAAATTGCAATTTTTTTTCAATTTACAGTTTGGTTGTTTGTTTATTTTATTATTGATAAACACCAATTGATCGTTTCATTTGGAATTAAATTGACTACAAATTATGTGTAACACTACATGAGAATATATATTATATTAAATTAATACAAAATGTACAAAATGTTTTTTTTTTCAAACTAATAGTACAAAATAATAATATAGACAATAGATTGTTTTTTCTTAATCATCTATTAGAGATCAAAATGTATGAAAAAGTTCTTTGTAATCCTTAATAATATGCACATGAAAAAAAAATATATAATATCATATTATATTGTCTCCAATTGTGCATTTGTCTTATACTATATAATCATTTTTGAAAGTCTAAACACAAATACAATTATACAAACTATTAAACTGTGTTGAAAAATGCAGTTCAAACCAAGCTGTAAAGATATACCTTTCTATTTTTGTTAAAACATAGTTGTAGAGTACAACATAACAATATTACAAATTTATTTGTGTTTAGTTGACGTGTTGGAGAGGGCTCTTCAATATTGACGCTTTCACAAAATAGATAAAATTTATCCTGTAGTGCTTATATGCGTACAATAATTCACAATAATTAATTATATAATATAATCTAACATAAACTATAACATTATTACTATATGAAAGAGCTATTATTGAGGCCATAGACATAGGCAAATCTGTGTCTCAGGCCGGTTGAGCCATGGCCTAACTTAATAGTGACTGTATAACATACTGACTTAATACAATTTTAAATTTTAATAAATAATAATACATTTTTTTTCATATTTATCATTTAGGTATCTTAATAAAATTTCCTAGTTTCACCTATGGCCATAGATTTCGAACCACAATAATATTACGTCAAAACCACTCAGTTACGCTGCCAACTTTTTTCTCGCGGAAAATATATCTATTTTTGAATAATGTGGTTCGACAGACTCAATCCTGCTGAGTACTGATCTTGTCTTGTACTCTTGTCTCTGTTCACAGGCGAGTAAAAATTAAGTAATAATACAGATTAGAAAGTTTTATTTAATCTGTGGTAATAACTAATAAGCGTTATTAATTCATAAGATTATTTTATTATTAAATTTTTTGTCTGTTCATTCATAGCCAAAGACATATTAAGACGTTGACAACTCACGACTAATAACTAAATAGTACCTAATAATTATTTTACTATTTACAAAATTTCATGAACATTAGTTATAACTCTAATGTAGTGATACACATGCATCGTTTATTAAGTCTAATACTCTAATGTCTTTTAATTTACAAGTTATAAATTATAATACGATGTAATTGTAGTTATCAGCTAATGTTAATTATAGACAACAGTGAATAGTTAATAGTTATGCTTATGACTTAAGTCTAATAGTCTATAGTGTATGACATATCACATATGACATAATATGCCTAAAGCCTATGGCGCTCTTATCCTTGGGCCCCCGCCACCAAGGCTATTCATGATCACGACCGCGACGACGTGTTTAATTATTTGGCTACTATAATAAAAAAAAACGGTATCATCACGCCAACTGAATGGTAAAATGTTTGTTGGATACACTGTGATGTTTAGTTTCTATTGTTATAAAATATATCTTAACTATTATATGTTCGTGATCAGCTTAACTAACTACTCTTAAGAGGGCGCAATAGTAAAAGTAAAACATAACCAACGCTCCAAGTTAATATCACTAATACATTCTTACTCTATGGTTAATATAAACTATTACCACGATTAAAAAATAAAGATATCTTAGTGGTTATTTCTTACTATATAGTGATGGGGCGATTATTGAAAGTGAATCGATTTAAATCGGAATGAATAAAATCGATTTAGAAAAAATTGTTACCAAGAAAATCGATTCACGATAAACATCTGAAATGAAACAAATATTAATATTCGAAATGTAGTTTTTTTTTAGTCATGAGATGGCGTGCTTTGATGTGTTATAGCTCTACGCCTCTACCATGTGATGGTAGATACCATGATAGAAATAATAAATACGTGACATTGGCACCCGGATGTTTGAAATTCAACTCAAAATCAGCAACAGTATTTTACACAATTTGTACACATTTTTAATCACAATTCCAAAATTTGAACCCCCCTCCCCATAAAACCCAAAATCAATTTGCCCATATTGATGTAAATGGCCTATCGACTCGACAACCACATCAGTAATAGTTGTTATACGATGTGTACAACATTTTGAAAATCCGGGTGCCACCTTCATGCACCGGCTTGGTAAGGCTCATCAATCATAACTCATAACGATTAATTTATACAGATTACATTAATAATTTTTTATGAATTATTTGAATTAGTTTTATAAATTGAACCGAATCGTCCATCCAAAAATCGGTTCAAAACATCGATTTTTGGATTAGAAAAAATCGATTCGTTTAGCATATCACTATTAGTTATTACAATAATTTACAATATTACTTAACAGTTATCGTTACCATGATCGTTACGTTAATACTTATTACAAATGTCAAATCTCAAATAGTACTTTAGTGTTTAGTGTTTAATCTCACGGCTATAGTAACAGTAGGCAGTAGCCGTGTTTCTACAGCTAATGCCAAGTACTGTGGATAGTATTTGTTTTTAGCCTGTACTCTTACTTCTTAGTTTATACTTAACTCTATTGTGGATTAATAGACATAACTTATAATATTATTTCTTTTTTTTTTTAAATTGAAATTCCAAAATCGCAATTTACTTGAAGAATGTTGTTAAGAACTACCTATTTAAATATTAATGAATTTTGTTGGTCTTCAAAATATTTTACTCAATACAAAAAGTTTTTAAATATTTTGTATATTGATGATAATAATATATTAATATGATGTGGGTGATAGGTATTTTGTTGTTGTAAATCCGTCATAAACAATTCATTTCATTTATCAAATATATACCTGCTTTATACATCCAAAATAAATATATTATTTAACTTATATTGAAAATAAAAGGTAATGTAGTACAGTTTTAGGTAGTGATTGCAGTTAGATTTTTGTGTTAATATTCAATCTTTTGATTTATGAATTATCTATATAGAATCAGTGTAATTGATGTTTTGAAAATGACGGAGGTCAACTATCGGTACATAGCGTTTGAAAATGATCACACGTATTTGAAAACTAATAATTTTAGCGATGACAATTTTCAATTATTGCAGACCAGCATTTCTACAATTGATGAGTAAGTTTTAAATCTTTGATGTATGTGACTTAGAAAATTAACAAATTGCATAATTAATGTACCTAGTTTAATATCTATTCTTTAAATTGTGATATAGGTAGCTAATCAAACCTAGGTATAATATCTACATTAAAAGCAGGAACCCTATTTATAATATTTCATTGTCTTAAGATAAATGGCCCATACACAAATTTAAATATAATAAATTAGTAGAACCAAACATAAACCCAGAACACAGATTCTAAAAACACAGTCTGATTTTACATAGTAATATCATCTTATTATTTTTCCACTATTACTGATAAGTGATAAGTTAAGAATATTCAAATGCAATGTTTTTAGTACAAATTAATGAAACCTAACTTAAGACTAAGAGCAACCTAATTATGATAAAAAATATATCATAGACTGCAGGCTGTCTCCACTCAGAACCTTTAATCATATAAAATGATAACTATATCATTGAATTCAAATGTAACTCTTTCATTACCCAACATGACCAAGTCAATGGCATCATTTGGTGGGAGAGGGCTGAAGGTGGGCAAATACCCCTATATGATTATAAAATAACTCCAATGTTGGACTGATTGTTGGTGAAATAATATAACTATAATTTTTCTAATTTTGAGGAAATATATTGTGTAAACACTGGACAACTATATTGTCACAATCACTCTTGAAGTTATCCATGCTTTCAAAAAAAAACTTCTATAATAGGAGGTATCTATTTAAAATGTTAAGATTTTTTGATTACATTTCAGCAGTTTACTTTCATATTGTAATTTAATTAGTTCTATCACTCTAGAAAATTATAAATTTATACCACAGAGGTAGGTACTATAATTAATTAGCACCTCCATATCTTTTTTATTATAAAATTAGGTGATTTTTGCCTCAGATACGTATAAAGTTATATAAGGTGAGAATTGTATTGAGATAAAAATGTAAGTAGAAATTTGTACTTTGTACTATTATATGATACATAAAGTATTTAAGTATATATTATGTTAATATAAGTACATATTATATAGTGTTATAAAGTTTGATGACATTGAAACATTATTTTTTTTTTTAATTTTATACTGAAAAGTAAATAAAAAATGTTTATAATATAAATAAGTCAATATAATGAAAACAGTTTCTTTTAATTTACAGGTTAAGTAACAACCAAACATTCATTGGTGCTAATTGGTAATATTATACTATTATATTACCAAATTAGATGTACTAAATGGTGTTTAAACTTAATATGATTTTTAATATAATTGGTCACGACTTCAGACTTGATTAGATTATCCTATACTTTATGTATAAATTATATAATAGTACAAAGTGTTTGCAAAACTAAAGTTTGGCCCGACTATACAAAGTGTCCACATTCTGCAATCTTATTTTTAACCTACTGTTCAAAGTGACCTAGAACCTTTCAGATATGTGGGCTAGTCAAAACATTTGTCTCTTCCTATTCAAAATTGAAATGAATATGGTGTCACTGAACCCAGTCAATGATGAGCTACACTCCAGGCCTACAATACAGCAGAGTGGTTACCTACTTGCCCACTTTCTTAATTATTGTAGTTAATTTATTAATTTGAAGTGATACCTATAATATATATTTGATAGCACTATGGTGTATTTATCTGGGATCTGGTATCCTTTAAATTAGAATATTATAAAAGGCCTACAAGAGATTAGAGATCTTGTTTTTAAATTCAATAATTGTCAATTCAATTAAATAATGGAACCTAGAAACTCACATCAGTTATTCAGAATTTTGTGTGTTCTACTCATTAAGATATTGTTCATATTCTTGGAAAAAGATTAAATGTTTTATTGAATACAAGGTACCTACTTATTATTAGAATTTATTTTTATTTTTAGACCCGAAAATGATGGAACTGTGTCATCAAAAACTTCACCTACTAGAAAACAACAAATTAAAGCTTGTAAAAATAAAACTAATCCAATAAAAATTAATATGGATCTACAAAAATCAACATCATTTTATTTTCATAACACTTTACATTTTCCATTATCTACAGACTTTAAGATGCAAGTATTAATATCTTAAATATTATAATTTATATTAACATTGAAATTTGTACTAATGTATAGGTTATTATTTTTAGATCACAAAATACATTACCTATTCAAAAAATGATTACTGGTAGCAGTTCAAGTGCAAGGCCTATACAACCAAAAGTATCAAATACTTCAAATATTGTTCCTGTTACACAAACACAATCAAATGCACTACTTATTCCATCACAAATTAATTTTTTAAAAACAAAATTACAAAATATGTGAGTAAATTGTAATATTATTTCATATTTTAAATGGCTGTTGAAGATAAAAAAAAAAATTATTATTGTTAAATTACTCGCACATCTTAGGTGCTCATGTTCATAAAATATATAGTGGTTTTGACTTTTTTTAAAAAATATTTGATAAATCTTAAGTATTTATTTATAATTCTACATTCATGTTATGCCAAATTTATTAGAAATATATATGATATATGTTCATGCATTGCCAGCGATGTATATTAAAATTCATATTTATGCAATTTGTCAGAGATATATAATAAGAATCTTTCAATGCTAAGATTGTTAAATTGAGTATTTTTACAATCATTTTAATAGATCAGCTTTATTGAATGTATAGAGTCATAAAATTAGAGGCCGTAGAATGGGCAGGCCTCGTGTGTATGAAACAAAACAACATTAAAAAAGAAAATCCTCTAGAATACTCTAAACTAAGACTGCATTAGAAAAGATTTTTTATATAAATCACCGTTGAAGATTATGGAAACCAAGACTATAAGGAAGTAGCAGAAAATAGAGACAAGTAGTAAAGGATACTTTAATAAGACCTGTTTTAACTCTAAATTATATAAATTTATATGCTGCAACAGTAATCCTGCAATATTTTATATTATAGCCTAAATAGGTTGTAATAAATAAACACTAATAGTAAATGTCATATCGTACATTGAATTATGAAGGCATCAAATATCAAAAACATATTTCAATTGTCTATATATTTATAAATTTATTTTCAGAACATCCGAAAATACACTTGTGAAACCTACATTGCCACTGATACCACAGTTGAAACCTTTTATTAAGCCTATTAAGTCAATAAAAAACAAAATTGTTTATGATTATAAAAACAATACATGCACAATTGAATTAGCTACAAATTTATGTCAGCGCTTATTGAGTGGAGAAAATATGTTCATGTGTAAGAAATGTGATAAAGTTTACACAGAACATAGAGATTTGTTGGATCATTATATGATTCATGGTAAATGTGAAACAAACCCAATAGTTCAAGAGAAAGATAAAAGGTAGTATTGAATAATATTCTATCAATATTTAAATATTTAAACTGACAATAATTGTTATTTTCAGAGAGAACATACCAATCACTAATGTAAAGAAAGAAAACAGAAATGTTAGTAAAACAATTATTAATAGTGATAAAAATGTTGCCAAACAAACTATACCAGTTATTAAATCTACATTAAACTCTAAAAAAAATAAAGTTGTTTTTCAAGGAGAGTGCATTATGTGTCATTCAGTATTTCCTGATCTTGGAGAACATATAAGAACTGTTCACCAAAATGACTTAGCTAAAAATAAAGTTAATACATTTTGTTGTACAACATGTGGAATAGAGTTTGATATTAAACAACAACTACGTGCTCATGAGTTATCTGCGCATAAATCTGCTAACGTATATACTTGTGAACATTGTCTTAAACTCTTCTCGTGTAAAGAAGACTTAGATACACATATTGAAACACATTATAGTGACATTATGAAGTATTTATGTCCATATTGTGATGCTGGTTTTCCTAATTCAAATGGATTAAGAACTCATCTCATTAATCATATTGGTTACGATAGTCCTGAATACTCAACTTCAGAAACACCAGTCTATCAAATTGAATATAGCCCAACAAGACCACCTGAAAAACTTGATCAGTTAATTTCTGAATTAGATAATGTTCCAGAAGATATCGATGATGTTTATATAGAACAAGTTGATGACGATAATTATCAAGTCAGTTTTAGAAAGGGTGATGAAGATAATGCATCATCACAAATAAACTTGCTTATTGACGATAAGCATGAAGTTGATACAGAACTAAACAAGTGAGCATTATTTTTTTTGAAGAAAAACTTTAATTTTACTATTGATTTGTAATATGTTGTTACATACTTTGATGTTAATAATTTCTTATTATTTTTTAAAATGTTTGTTTAGTTCAACTTCAGAAGATAATAAAAAAATTATCATTAATGAACACCAAACATCATTGTTAAATAAAAAGCGAATAAGTTATACAGTGTGTAGAATATGCATGATTATTGTAAGTTATTCAAGAATTGGTAGACATATGAAGAAAAAACACAATAATGCTGCTCCCTACCAATGTGAAATATGTCACGCTGAGTTTAATCGAAAGCACATCATGGATGACCATAGAAGAAAACACACAAATAATAAACCTCACAAGTAATAATATAAAAATCATTCTAATGTACCTACCATAATGTTAATCGCATAAATATTGATAAAATATAAATTTTTAAAAACGTTTCACAATAGAAGGTTTGTTTAATAAATACCCAGACAAAATGTATTAAAAATTATATAACAAACTATTTAAATGGACAACCTTCAAAATAGTGTCCTTAAGCTTCAATACAATGCTCTCATGGCCTTGCCATTTTTAAAATAATGGTACAAAAACCGCAACTTAGATTTCCATGTTTCTAGCCTTTTCAGCGTACTTTCTCTTAATCTTTCTAGTTCTTGGTTATTGAATACTTGATTTACTGTCTGGCCTGTAGGTACAAACTCATTATGAACTAAACTAAAAAAATACCATGAGCATTATTTTGATGTTTGACCGTATCCTATGACATTTTTTTGGCCGAGGTCAATTTGCCTCTAAATTTTGACCTTTAGTGAAATTTGCTGTCTTCCATTGTGATGATTGAACTTTGGTTTTGGAATATTATTGATATACCCATGTTTCATCAACCAAAATAATTGAATTTATATAACTTAAGCCATAAGACACCCAATTTTTTAGTTAAAAATATACTTCAATGCGATGTCCCATTTGTTCCCCGGTCAACAATTTTGGCACTAATTTTGCAGGCACTTTTCATACTTAATTCATCTGATAAGTTCGAATGACTAGTGCCGATTAATATGCCGACTTCATTGGTTATTTCTCCAAACAATAATGGTTAATCGTCTAATTATAATTAAATAAATATCTAATTTTGTTTTGAACAATAGTAATGGTATCATTTTGTTTTTGATGCTAATGAACGCCCAGGACGATGGTTTACATCAATGGATATCTGACCTCCTTTAAAATGTTTAAACCAGTCCAAAGTTGAACAACGGCTTAGTAAAACATCTCCAAAAGCCAATTTAATCAATTCAAACGTTTCTGTAGCATTTTTACCAATTAAACAAAATTGAATTCAAGCGTGTTGTTCTGCAATATTATCCATTGTAAAATTGGTATTTTTACAAAACGTCTAACTTTGAATGCGCACTGTTAATGACAGATTAGAGATATTAATTATTATTATATACTGGAATAATGGTCATTAACTTTTCTCTCAAGTTTATTTAGGCATAACAACATACCGATGACATTAAAAGTTTCTCTGTAATAATTTTAGTCTGGGTATTTATTAAAAATACCTCGAGTAAAAATTTCTTTCTTGTAAAACATCTAGGGAATCTGCTAGGGATATCATTATATAAACAAACTATTGAAGTTTACCATTATAAATAACATGATTTATTTTTTAGGTGCACAGAATGTTCTAAATGTTTTACCTACAAACACCACCTAAATCGGCACATGATGATAGTTCACAATTCTGGCACATTAGAAAAACTATTCAAATGTTCTGTATGTGATAAAGCATTTTCATTTAAGGAGTATTTGACACTACATGTAAAGTATGTTTATCTGATGAAATATACTTAAATATTACATATGTCATATTTAATAAACAATATATTTGATGTGTGTATATTATATTCAATAGTAGCCGCCATAAGGGTAAACATTATATGTGCCAAGTTTGTGGAAAAAGTTTTTCTACCAATGCTGCATTGAATAAACACCAGTTGTGTCATACAGACGAACGACCATTCATGTGTGAACATTGTGGACGGACATTTAAATGTAAAACTCATTGTGACACTCACAAAAAAAATATGCATCCTGGGGATCCACAACTAACAGCCCCACCAGAAAAATTTGAATGTGAACTTTGTAAAAAACTATTTAGCACAAAAGTATACCGCGATATGCACCTTAAGCGACATAATGGTCAAGGTCATCAATGTGATATATGCTATAAACTGTTTGTTTCCAAGGCACACATGCAAAGGCATATTAAAATAATGCATCGAAATACATTGTGAATCGTTATTAGTTATAGTTTTATTTTTGTTTAATGTTTGTTTTGTAAACATTTGTATTACTTCTTAAATACATTTGACTATTTCAATTTTATTTGAATTTAAATAATTATAAATGTTTATAACAAAAAGTAATTATACTCTGTCCAGGGACAGAATATGCTGATTCTGTGCATCCTCACTGGACATCCTGCAATCGAGAAGGATTTCACTATGGTAGTGTGTTGTGTGAGAGTGCACGGAAGAATCAATACTTGTTAGACTACTGCGTGTTCTTTTGTTTGACAGGATATAGTGTCAAATGTTATTGTTATATGCTATCCTATGTCCTGATCCATTTATTTTTTCTATTTTTCTCATCATTAATTATGTATAGTAACATAATCATTAATTAATCTACATAAGAGATTTTCTGAATTTTTATATAATTTGTCATTATAAGTCAAATTGTATTATTTTACATAATTAATAACCATATTAAGCAAATAGGTGAATTTTAAACAATACAAATTAATAATTCTACAATTAATAGAAGTCACTGGCTGCCAATTTATCAAAATACCTGTAAAAATAATTGAGTGTTTTTAAAACTATAGTGTCAAAGATCCTAATATATGTATGCCTCCCGGGTAGGTAACGAACTCGATCTAGGTCGCCTAGGATTGGGGGACATGGCGTCTACAATAATTATTTTCATCGTTTGCCCCATTATATTGTCTTACATAGACACTTAGTATTTGTTCATATACAGGCCTATAATATGTGTACCTATATTTAGACATTTAGTTACATTACATATTTTAGTTATGCTAATTAAATTTTTTATAATTTTTATTATAATATGCATAAGTGTATTGTTTTGGAGCCAGCCTCGGATTTGACCACCACGCAATCTAATGGAGAAATTAGTGTGCTATGTTATAGAACCAATTTTTGTGCTCTTTTATCTCTAGCCTTCATGTGGTGTTACCCCATGGCTTAAATATTTAAGCCATGTGTTACCCTATGGGTAATATTACTCTATGGTGATAACAGCCTGCTGATACAGTTTTGTGGTTATGATAAACGATTTTATGATAATATTATTATTTAAACGTGCCTGAAGCGTGAAACGCGTTTATAGCCTGGCAGTTGAGAGTTAAATTTATATAATAGGTTGGTTGATAGTTGAAATGTGTTAATTATTATACTAGTATAGTGAATAGTGATATACCGAATTTCTCAAATCTTGAAATTTCCTTTGGTTGTCCGTCAATCACTTGCAAATTGCTCGTAACTCGTGGGCCAATCTCATGGACCAGTGACAGCGGTTAACAAACATTGAGCGATGGACTCTTTCGATATATTCAAAAAGCTGTCCGTTGGCGCAAAATTCAAAAAGCCAGAAAAGATTGCGATTAACCCCGAGGTAATCTATAGATAATTTGCAAATGACCATGTTCACATTTTTAACCTAATGTCTTCTTTCCTTTATCCATATCACAAAGGATGATAAATCCAGCTCAAAACAAGTTAAAGTTAAAACAGTTGGTGAACGTGTTCCTGAAGCGCTTTCAACTTTTGACATGATGAAAAAAACTTATTCTTTGAGTCCAGTGTTGATGGAAAATCTTAACAAGTCTGGTTACACTGTGCCAACGCCTATTCAAACTCAGGCTATACCAGTTATGATGCAGGTGAGTTACAAGTAACTGAAATCTGGAGGGTTTTATGAACATAGGCACATGAATTAATTTCTTGTTTTATTAGAAAAGGCAAATATTTGCCTGTGCCCCAACTGGTTCTGGAAAAACTGCAGCATTCTTAGTACCTATCATTCATCATTTGAATAAACCAATAAATAAAGGATTCAGAGCCTTAATTGTAAGTCCTACAAGAGAGTTGGCTAAACAAACATTAAGGTATGTACAATAACGTTAGGAAAATTAGTAGGTACAACCTGTGTATTTATTACCTAATATTTTGATTTTTTTGTTTTATTCAGAGAATGTACAAGATTGTGTGAAGGAATTGGACTACGAGCACATACATTCACTAAGATTAATAAAGACAAAGAAAAGTTTAACCCAAAATTAGCTCAAAAATTTGGTAATGATTATATTAAATACTTCAAATTTTAAACATTTTATTGGTACTATTTTTGTATGTGGTCTACCAAATGTTTTGTTATTTAATTATAAAATCAATAGATGCATAAATGTAAAAAAAATAATGTAGGCACCTATTAAATATAAAAAATAATTTTATTTAATATAACATTACTTAATAATACACAAATGTATAAGTCTCACTTTTTCATATATACTTACCTACATATACAAAATAAATCCAATATCAATATTTTACAACTTTTATTAATTAAAAGAAAATTATTTTATCGATTTTATACCTCAGAGCCTAAATGCTCTAACCTTTCAATCCATCCACAGTATTACAGAGTATTCTCAAATCAGTAATTTCATATTTTAAATGTAACATATATCTGTGTTCAAACAATGTTTACAGTTTAACAAGTACAGTCTGATTCTAATATATTGTCTTAGGGTTTTCGTTAGAGTTCTACTTAAATGCACTTAATCTAGTGGTAGACAAATGTACTGTATATCTAAGTTTGAGTTATTAAAAGCTATACTATTTGTATTTTTGATATTAAATATTATAGATATCCTCATAGCAACACCTAATCGACTTGTGTTTCTACTGGAACAAGAACCACCAGCTGTTGAACTTAACAAGTAATGTTGACTGTACATTTTTTGCTACGTTAAATAAAAAAATAAATATTTTAATAATGATATTTCACGTAATAGCATTGAGTGGTTAATAATAGACGAATCAGACAAATTGTTTGAGACTGGAGTTCGTGGTTTTAGAGATCAATTAGCAATAATTTATAAGGCTTGTGGTCCTAATGCTAAACGTGCTATGTTCAGTGCTACGTATACAGTAGAAGTGGCAAAATGGTCAAAGAAAAATCTTGATGGTCTTATAGCAGTAACAGTTGGTAATAGGTATGTTCAACCAATTTATTTATATGATTAATATATTTCTGTAGTGGAATTATGACTATAATTTTTAAAGTATAAAACATTTCCATGCTATGACTACCTTTGTTATATTTCTTCTTTCAGAAGCAATTCAAATTTAAGAGTGATTTAGTAATAGTACCAACCAATTTTCAAATAACTAGGAATTTTCAGATTACCTTTCTTAAATATATCGTAGGCTCAAATTGTGTCATATAGGATGTTATCCAATTGTGCATGGTTAAACAAATTATAGCTTGTTCATATTTCATGTTCATTTGAAGTTTTCCATGTATCCATACATTATAGTTTGGTGTTTATCTATTTTACCATATCATTAACAGAAAATTAGATAGTTATAATTATGATGTTGGTTATAAAATATCATTTTGGAAAGTTCATTACAATAATGTTCTAATATTTATTTAAAAATCCAAAGAATTCTATAATACCCAAGAAAATAATAAACTAAATTCAAAAATAATAATTTCTCTTAAATATTATACTTATGAGATCATTGGAATTTTATAGAATTATTAATTTTAAATGTTATGATTTTTATTATGACTTTAAATTAAAATATATATTAATCATTTATACTTAAGTGTTATTACTGTTATATAAATGTAAATTGTCCTTGTCACAATAATTTGTTTTCGTCTATATAAAGTATGCATTTAGTTGTTTTAAATGTTTAATGATTATTGTTATTGTACAGGAACACTGCTACCACAACGGTCGAACAAGAACTGGTATTTGTTGGCAAAGAAGAGGGCAAATTAATTGCGATGAGAGATTTAGTGAAAAAAGTAAATGTCATAACTTATAAGTCAAAAAACACTTATCAATGATTTTTATGCCTTATATGTTTTTGAATTATGTTTCAGGGTCTATCACCTCCAGTTTTGATATTTTTACAATCTAAAGAACGTGCAAAAGAGCTTTTTAGTGAACTAATTTATGATGGAATTAATGTAGATGCTATACATTCTGATAGAACTCAACAACAAGTGAGTTATAATAATTAACAATATATGTATACATTTTGAATAATTTAAAATAACCTATTTTTAGAGAGACAATACTGTAAAGGCGTTTCGGGAAGGAAAAATTTGGGTCTTAATTTGTACAGAGCTTATGGGTCGAGGTATTGATTTCAAAGGTGTAAATTTGGTAATAAATTATGACTTTCCATCTTCGGCTATCTCATATATTCATAGAATTGGTAGGACAGGACGAGCAGGGCGTTCTGGTAAGGCTGTTACATTTTTTACAAATGATGACAAACCAATGTTGAGAAGGTAAATTTGTTTGTTTTTATGTAAAAGACTTAGCTTATTACATAAATAATTTGTTTTTCCTACAGTATTGCTACCGTAATGAGGGATTCAGGATGCCCAGTACCAGACTATATGTTAGAAATGAAACGATTGCATAAAAACACTAGAAGAAAATTAGAAAAACAGTCTATTAATAGGAATGAAATTAGAGCAAAACCACATAGATATCATAAGTAACTAAAAATTGATTAACTATAAAACTAAAATTAATATTTTCTCATGCCAATTGCGGATTTAAGGGGTTAACTATAGTTGAAAAATCCATAAGAGAAGTCTCATACAGAATGTATCAGTAGTATACCTACCTACAACTGTTTTTTTTTTTATTAACCTTATTTAACAATAGTAAATTATATTGCAATTTTCAATATAAAATTTTTAAATTTAAAATTTCATTTTTTGAGGTAAAATTAAAAACAAAATGAACACTATAATTTAGGTGGGCAGCTCCAATATACATATTAAGAGAAGCTTTCTGTCAGGATTTGCCAATTAAACAACCTTTAAATCCGCCACTGTGTAAGGAGGAATTTTGGCAGTATAACAACCTCCTTTAGTCTTGTTATATTGATTTTTTCTTTTAAACCTTGTAGTAGACCACACTTCTGCTCCAGTACAGTAAACTAGTAACACGGTTTCACACTGATCCATTTTTATCTGATTAAGTCATAACATGATTGAGCACCAAATGATGTACATTATATTATGTAATAAACATACAATTTCAA